AGCTTACCGTGACTGATAAGCGGGAAGAACTAGTTCAAATAAAAGTAGAAGCAGGATTTTAAGAATGACGGTTGCAAAATGCTCACCAGTTGCTTGTGTCCATCTAGTTATACTATTTAAAAACACAAACGTTTCTTCATGGATTTCCTATTTAGTTTTAGTTAAAATTTGCAACAAGTTATTTATAGATAAGTGAAATAAATCTAACGCAAATGTATTATAGCAAATTCCTATACGTAACACAGGCAGAGATGATATTAAGGTATAATTTTGATCTTAGCTCTGTTTCTTTCAAGGATCTGCACATTTCACAAAATTATTCAAAATTTTACAACATTGAAGATGTATAATGGTTAAATCAAAATTATCTACATTTCCATCGAGTTCAGTAAACGAACAATCTATATTCCATTTGCGTTCATTAGCTTTACCCACACGTGACGTTTGTGAACGTCACAAATTCTTTTGTGTAAAATGTGACTCATCAAAAAAGCGATGAAGGCTAAACGCCCTTATTATTTTTAATAGCTCGCAGTCCCAGAGCATATCGATTATACTACCATAGGTCTTTGTAAAATATGGTAATTTCAATTTTATAAAGTAAGTTCTTCTAATTAGTTAGTAATTAATACCAAACAAAAGGGAATATTTTTTTATTTAACCAACTTGGAGTCAGCCACAGTTGGAGACTATATTTATATTTATTATTGTTGGCCATAGATAATAGATACACAAAGGGTGATTGTTGGCTCCCAAGTGGTACGAATTCTATCAATTATTGTTATTAACTAAATGACATGTTAGATGGCATTGGCGTACCTTAATTATCTACAGTTATTAGTTTTACTTGTCTATGAATCTTACCGTGATTTTATCTATGATTTTATCATTAACCTAGTTTTTGTTTCATTATTTTTCCCGCAAAGGCAGCATTTTGGAAAATTGGAATGCATTCTAATATTGTAATTTAAATACTTTCTGCTTTACTAATGGATTTCAAGTATAGAAAAGGTCAGCGCTTAGTTTTAGAGCTTGCCTCGTTAGAAGTATTTGAAGGTGATTATGAATCTGGTACAAAAAACAGGATCGATTTAAATAATATTATTGAATATCCAAATAGCTCTAAAATAAAGGGTATTCAGAGTTTTTATAGATGTGATATACGTAGTGTTAGTGTTGTTGATAATGACCAATCTAGTAGCAGTAGCAGTAATGATGAACTAAGTTTTAACAATTCAGCTGAAGATAAAGATTTAACTCAAGTTATTCTGTTGCCTAAAGTAGAGTATGATAGACTGAAAGATATGATGTATGATTTCATATACATGGCAACAACAGATAGGCGGTATAAAGATGCAATTGATGATTTACTTAATGCTGAAAATATTGGTGTTGTGGGATTGGGAAGTCAGTATGGACGATCAAATAAAATACAATTGTTGCTGTTATCTACATGGAAGCAAGTTTATATATTTGATATTTTATCATTCAATCGCAAAAATTTTGAACCAGAATTAAAAGAAATTTTAGAGAGTCCATTCATAAAAAAAGTTGTACATGATTCTCAACGATTAAATGCTTGTTTATCTCACTGTCATAACGTAACAATGGTTAATTTTTTTGATACTCAGGTAAATGCTTAATTAAATATTTGTATTTGTTTATCTAAATAGTAGCTATCACATTAATAGTAATTTTAGATACATAAGTAATTTTCTGCATAATAAACCTTTAAGTATTGTGATGGCATGGAATGTAGTTGAATGATACTAAATTTAAAGAAAATCGCATTTTCAAAAAAAAATAGGAAACAAAAAAATTAGCTAAAATGCAGGACCGAATGTATATACATTTTCTACATAAAATTAAACTTTTTAGGTTGCTGATATGTATATAAACAAAACTGGAACGACTCCAGTTGCATCAAGAAGTCTATCTGATTGTCTTGCTCATTATTTTCACTTGCCCTGCAACTTAATAGTACAAGCAGAGGTAAGTAACTTTATTCGTAAGATAATAATCGAATATAACAGTGAATGAATATTCTCATTTAAACAAGTAAATCATTAATTTAAGAGAACAGATATAAAAAAATGGCAACAACGTCCTTTAACGGATGCTCGGAAAACACGAGCTGCCATACTTGTTATTTATTTGATTGTGTTGAAAAACAAGCTGGAAGAAATCTTATTGAGAGACTATTATAATGAAGTAAAAATTTATTCTTCAAATGTAAAAGGTGGAACCTATTATGACTCATTACTAATAACTAAAAAGACAAGAACATCAAAAAATATTCCCTGCTACAACTAAATAAACAAATAAAAGGTAATTATAAGAAACCATTTACTTTTTTATCTCAGTTTATTTGAAAAACCCATTAATTCTTGTTTTAAGGAAGCATTTTACAGAGAGTGATGAATAGGATAAATGGGCGATATCAAAGTCAAATAACTCATTGCTTTCTAATCATATCTTGCATCAATTAATGCTCTCTTTGATGTATAGATTATAATATTAAAACTATTGAAGGTGTACTTATGCAGAAGCATATTGAATATTTAAATAAAACACAAGAATGTTTCAACAAAAGTACAATAAAAAACAATTTGACAACTGTTTCGACTTATTTGAATTTAGTCTATAATTATTTAAATGGAACGTCAAAGAACTCATCCGAAGATTAAAGGTCGAACTCAACTCAACTCACGCAAACTCTCGTCCAGTGACTTAAAAAAGTCGAGCAATTGTCAGCCAACTAAGCCATCATACTAACAAAACCCTTGACAAAAAGAATCATGCCAAAAGTCCACCAATTGTTTCTTACATGCAGCACTGGGGAAGGCCAGGTCATGGCAGCTTTTGCAACTTTTGAATGGTGATGTCAAATTGTTTGCATTCAACTGATTAGTTTTCAATTGCAGATCAAAGAGTATTGTTTTCCGATCGATTTAATATCATTCAGTGCGAAATATAGTTAGAAACCAATGAATTACTTCATCCTCTGTACTGCTAGAAATAAAAAACAAAAGCACGTTGTATTTAATATTTTATTGAACCAATAAATATTTTTTTGGATCTCCAAATACGTTTAAATTTACACTTCATACAAAAATACCAAATAAATAAACAAAATTTCATTGCCGAAGTAGCAACAAAAGTATAACAATTTTATTAAAATTAACAAATCAACAGTATTTGAAACTCTTGTGGATTGATTTACTTACTACCTTACAAATATAGGTACAAAAATTTTCTTAGTTGTAATACTTGAGATTTCTTTACAAATTCTCTAAACTTAACTCACTAAATGTGGGCATTTTAAGGAGCTTGTTTCAATTTTACAAAACCTATTGGGCATCTATTTAACAAAAAAATGTAGCATATCTCTAATATTTACTTATTTTCTTTAATTAAACATTTGATTTTCTAATGTACAAAGATATTTACTGTCCTACCTGAATTTTGTAAACACATCAAAAAATAAAAAATTAAGGAAAATACTTGCAAAACTCCACGTAATTGAAAAAAATAATTAAATACCTATAAAGATAGTTGTTTAATGCAAATGAATAGGAATATTTTTTCAGTTTCAAGTTCGTCATATATTTGTTCTAAAATGAATTAAAAAAAAAAACACCAAAAAGGTTTCTAAAAAAATACTACACAAAAAAAGCACTGTGTAACCTTTGCATAAAAACAGTTCTCGTTATATCTGCACTCAAATTTATCAGTAAAATGAATAATATAAAATTTAATATTTTTTTAGTCTTCAGCAACATTTTGTTCTATTTTTATATTATGAAGAATGCAGTGACTATTTATACAAAAAATTTACAAAATTTATACAAACAAGTATGAATATTTGCATATAATAACGCTTGAAATTCAAATACGATGCTACATCTTCTTGGAGAAAATTTATGCCCAAACTAAAAGTAAAATTGAAATTACAAATATAAACAACACAGGTAATGTCTTCCTATATATTTAGTTTTGAAAATGCAGTTTACAGTTTCCGTTTGGATTATGTACTTAAAAAAAAACTTCTTTCTGAGCTACCTTGTCGCCCACCTATGTTTTGATCTTTGATAAAAGACACAGCACATCCCATACCCAACTTCTCCGTTGTTTCCTGGTTCTCACGTACACACACTTTCTTTCTCATTTACAGTCGATTATTTTTTATTACCGAAGAAGGCCTCGAAACCAGCGAACATAGTAGCGATTGTAGTGAAAGGCTTTCGTTGTCCTGGCGGAGAAAATGACACTCATAAGCTTTCTCTGGACTGATAAAATAAAATGTAACCGGTTTCAGACGACTTTTGCGTATCCGACGTTAGACCATAAAAATCTTCAATTGTGGACGCGTCTATCTTCTAAAAATAAAATCGAAGTAATCAACCCTAAATTACAGAAATAAATCATAAAAAGAAAACAGAAGACAACTCATAAACACTCGCCGAAAGGCGTTACATATTAAAGATACTTAAAGACATCTTTTTATTATTTTTCATATTTTCTGAATATCCTTTCACTTTATTTTATTCATATTAAAATTCCAAATTACTTTCTTATGTATTGTAAAATTATTTTAATTTTGATAAATATTATATTTCAGTAACTCATTAAACATAAGAATGCAAAGTTAAAAATTGTATACATACGTCGACCTGATCATCATCAAAAAGTAACCAAAAACCATGACTTTTTACAATACTAATATAATGTCCACGGTTAGGCCCACTACCACAGTGGATTACCACAGCTACCAAGTCATAAAGTCTATCAGGGTTAACAGCATCGTCAGACTGTTGAGGAAAACACAAGAATGAAATTAGAAACTGGTTCAACATTATGTTACTACCAATGCCATCATTGTAGATTTAATTAGTGAGACGATATTATAGTCCGCTTTCAGTTTCTTACTACTATTATATATATTATTAAAATTACTTACTGTATTAAATAATCGCAATTCTAAAGGAAATACAACTCTGTGGGACACTTTGATGTGTCTATTGTATTGTTCCATATATTTAAATCTTTTTAAATGAAGTGCAAGAATCATCGGTAATTTCTTCACTCTCATTCTTTTCTGTGCCTCTTGATAAGAACTACAGTTATCACATTTGAACTTATTATCACTACACAATGTTTCTGTATTGCTAAAACATCGAAGACAATGTGTGATACTGGTATTTTGCTCGATATCCACTTGCAAGTCAAAAAAGTCTTCATCTTTACTACTCACAGTTTCACAATTCAAACAACGCGTTTCACTCGTCAAGATACCCTATCAAGGAGTGAAATGAAAACGTATCATACAATAGTTAACTTACACATCTATTTAAATAATTTCATATAAAAGTTTTGTTATTACTTGCCTGAAATATTTCATGCACCCAAGTAGGTTCTGTCTGAGAATGGATAATACCATTTTCACCTGAATTCTTACATTTAATGTTATTCATTGTGGTATTTTGCTGTCTCTCTGCTATATAACATACACAATTACAGTTCACAATAAAATAAATTAAAATCCACATTCACTTACCTAATATTATTTCACTAATATGATTAATTAAAAAATTTAAGAATTCATGAGCATCTTGCTGCATGTAGTTATCAAATTCCTCTAAAATTTAATCATTAAATAAATAAAACAATTTCTTGTAATATCATGTACTGACCCTTTTCTTTTCGCAGCCTTGCTATAAATTTTTTTGGAGCAATAGAACCTACTTTCTTTTTCTGTGTAGCAATACTGTAAAATAAGTCTGCCAAACATGTTAGAAGAGTTTCTTTATTTCTCTTATTTTTTGCTTTATATTCGAGAACTTTATCTCGAAAAGGTTTGCAAAAATATAAAGCCTGAAGTACAGAATTACTGTAACAGGTATTTCCAAACTAAAAAAAACAAACAATTAACCAAAAGATTAATAAAAAAATTAAATCAGTACATTTACTAATCCAAAGTAGTGTTCATTTGAAGGAAACTGTTCAGATCCAATATCTCTTTCTAGTTGAGAGATATTCGCACCCTGAAACAGATAAACAAGCTGTTCATAAATTACAATAATAAAATCTTAATCAGGATGTTTTACACCGGATATGATTTATTAATTAATAACTGAATTTACGTTCATAATGTCAATGTACCGAAAAGTATAATAATTATAGAGAATTTAATACCATATTTCAATTGCTAATCCATTACTTGTGAAGTTTTGAAAAATACACATGAAAATAAAAAATGTTACAAATCCACTCCATTACCGTATTTTGACAGCTGTAAAACCATAGATCAAAGATATATATAACGTATCGTTAGCATACACATATAATAATGGACGTGCCTTAGCCATATGTAGTAATAATTTCTTGGCTCGAAAAGAGTGAGGGAGATGGCGTATGGCTTCGCACTAGTGCTATCTCTTTCATTACACGCTTACGTACAATCGTGAGAAAAATAGATATTGTCCGAAACTTTGTTCCATCTCTTTCTTTTGTTGTACCACAATTCTGACCACTAAGGCATGTCCATTAGTATATGTCGATGATCCTAAGTATTATTATATATCTAATCTATGTGTAATACAATTTTGACCATAGATAATAGATCTACAAAGGGTAAATTTGATAAAAATTCAGCAACGTCAGTAATGAAAATCCCTATTCCCACATTTTTAATTTCAAAATTATTGAATAATTTTATGTTATATACAATTCGAAAACGTATTATTCAATTAATTAAAACAGATTAGTAAAATAATAAAATAATTATTATTTCTAAGTAGAAAAAAAAAGTTGTGTAATGTAGGTGGGCACGTGGTTTAAAACCACAACATGACAACTGATCTGAAAATACAGATAATTATCTATATCATCATATCATAGTTAGACATTTGCCTATTGAAAAAAAAAAGGTAAAAATCCACATGTACCTTATTACAATTTAATTGTAAGGCACCAACATACCAGTGACGCAACTGAAGAAGTATAACTCTAGGAGCAAATAGTGACATTTTCGCCACATTTTTATAATATAACCATATAACGTAACCTCAAAAACTAACTCGATATTTTTGTGTAAAGGTTTTGTTTTATGTCGGATAAATTACTTTGTGAATAATGACCGATTTTGGAAGCGATTCATTTGGTTCTAATTCAGACTCTTCTAAAACAGACAAAGAACTTCAACAATTTTTAATGGTTGAAAAACAGAAAGCCCAATTTAACGCACAGGTAAAAGGCCGATTTTTAAAATTTGTGAACACATATAATTGATTGCAGATTCACGAATTTAATGACTTCTGTTGGGATAAATGTGTTGATAAACCATCAAGTAAACTGGACAGTAAGACTGAAACTTGTTTAGTAAACTGTGTAGACCGTTTTATTGATGTATCCCTTTTGATTACAAATAGGTTTGCCCAATTATTACAGAAACATGGATAATTATACTGTCTACCTTGTAGGTTCTTAAAAGTTCATTTAGTTGTAATTATTTGTTTAACCTAATACACTTCACTAAAATTAAAGTTTTTGTATTTTACTATTAAAACAAAACTATTGTTTCAATCCTCAAGAAATTTAACCTTTTATTTTAATAATATGAATTAAACAATATCATAGTTGTTATTGGTTTCAAAACAATTAATCATATTACAATTGTCTTGCAATGCAGTTGCATCATTGCATTATCAAAAAGTATTTTCAAAACACATTTGCCATACACACATTTTTAATGCAATTATAAATCAATAACTATTGGTGTTTTACTTTTATCACTAATAATGTTTGATTAATAAAATGTAATAGGTACATGTGCTTAATTGTATGAACATGGCAAAGGAGCTTCCTTATCGAAATTCTGTATTGGACAGATAATAAATATTCAAAAAATAAAATTTCATATGTTAATTACATTATCATATAAAAAACATACTTGCAACTTACTCTACTTAACAATTACATCAAGGGATCAATAATTATGTTGCATCACTATTAATACCATTTTTTAGGTCCAATTTATTACTGTTAGTCTTAACTGTATAAATAAAAAATGTTAGTACATCTTTTTCCTTTACAGGTATTGTTTTGAAATGTTTCATGAGCATCTGAAAGAAGAAACAATGTATAATTATTTATTAAAAATGTTTAAGAATTAATGAACATTTACATACATCAGCAAGCAGTGCTTTATTTAAACCAGGTCTTGTAGAAACTTTATAATGTCTCTTGTAGCGTCTTAATGTGTTAACTTGAAGTTGATATAAATCCACTTCTGGAATATCTGTATCAGTTTCATTACTGTCATCTTCTGAGTCTTTACGTCTTCTTTTAGATCTTGCACATTGAATGATCATTTTGTGAAAATCACAAATGTAGGTATGTCTGGCCTAAAAATGACTATTAGTATTATTTTAATAAAAGTATAAAAAATATTTCTTACAGAAGCGTCAATGCTGAGGTTAAGCCTCCTTTGCTGAACTGTCTTTTGAATTCTTTTGCTGTACGAAGCATTTCCTGCAGTTTTAGCACATCTGTCATTATTATCAACTAAACAGCATATCTGGTCTGTTGGACCTCGTGAATCTTCTTCAGTACTAAAGCCATTCATCATTGCAGAATTTTTCAATATGATGACTGCAAAAATTAGACAGTACAGTTAACAATTCTGCAATTATGGCATCACATATTGTCACAAAATACACATACCTTATTTACATTTATGAACTTGGTAGTAGTAAACTTGAGAAAGCTTTTTGAAAATGTTTCATTGCCCAAAAGCTATCATATGAAAGTATCTTTTTGATATTTACACATAACTTAAATATTAATGTAAAATCCGTAATATGTCATATTAAGTTATATTATTTACAATTTATTCACTGAAATAAGACAACAACACTTTTAAAGCCACATTTTCACTAAAACAAAACAACAAAATTCTTTTGAAATAATATTTATTATTTGAGAGTCATTTTTAGGAAAACACAAATAATTGAACACATACTGCATATTGCGCAACTAAAAATGTCATTGGTTGTTTAAAGAAATTCAACTAAACCCAATTACGGTTTTACATTGGTTCTCGTTGTGCGGCAAATTTGAAATAAACCAATAGAAAGAGGAAGTAATCCTATGTTTCTCTGTATACTGCATAAGTGGCGTGGGGTCTCGAAATACGAAGCCGATCTTCAGTTGTTTCTGGGCTTGTAAAGGTAAGAATTTTATTTTCATACTTAGAAAAATTGTCAGTTATTTAGTTTTGTAGTACTTGCTGGAATAATTATTCTACACTTGTAATTAAATCGGTATAATTGAAATAAGCTTGTGGGATTAAAAGTTTTACCATTATATTTCTACGTACATTCCCATATAACTATACAGCAAATGGCTGCCGTAAGCACAACATAGGAAAACGTACAAGGAAACAAATTTTATTTTTTTAACTGAATTTGCCTTTGTTGAAGGTGGTTCGTATTTTTTTTATGATGATATACAATTATTTGCATTTTTTTCTATAAATTGGTTTAGTCATAGCCGTAGTACTTTTCGAAATATACAAATTTTTATTGTTGGCTTTGTTCATATGGACGGCTTATGCTTGTAGTATAGACTCCATTTGCCAATACGTTGGTTTTACAATATAGGGAATAGCATTATATACGGTATGTGTATACGTTTTCAGCGAATAATAACAGAAAAATTGCTAATTTTACGCATATTTAAATTAAACTATCGATTATATTTAAATGTTAAACATTTTTTATATGAAGTTTCATTGATGACGTAAATTATTTTGCAATTTTTGTCCGTTTTAATATAAATTGTCGATCCAAGGGTTTATAGGTAGATTTAGTTTTGGCGCCAAATGTCTTGAAGTATTTCAGTAAACGTTCATAAGGCTAAATATTTTTAATTTGACAAATTTAATTAATGTAATTGTTATTACTGTAGATTTGTTAACTTATTAACTGTGAAGAAATTATTTTTGGAATACCAGTGCGATTCTTGATTATTGTAACACCTATGTAATATTTTTCAAACTGAAACATTACGAAAATTTATTTAATTTTAAATTTTGATAAAATTATTCTTCATTTTGATTAAAAGAAATTATGATTCGCTTAGGTAGTTGTAGTAAAAATTTTTGCGGTAGGTCCTTAGGTAGGTATATCATTTTTCTCATCTTTATCTTATTTCTTTATTTTTTTTTAAAGATTTGCCCACATAATAAATTTATCTTTATTTTTGGTTATAAATTCAAAGTTGTATTTTAATCTTTTTTTAATTTGTCGAAATAATTTGTATTTAAATGTTCCTACATACACGTAAGTGTATGTAGATACTGCACATTTTGTGTTCCTGAATTATTCAGTTAAAATCCATAACTATTTATTAATGTACTAAGTATTTGTAATTTTATATATTTTTTTAAATTAGTGAAAGGTGTACATCAACATCAAATCTTATCCTATATATTCTTGCACATACAGTTAAAATGGCGCCATCTCCGTTACTACCATATTTAAATTAAAAATGAAAGTACGTCTGCTTACGTTTAATATTGTTTATTCATCTACTCGGGGTTTAAATTTTTGGCTCGATTCCTCGGAACAGTGTTGTCTGTTCTCGCAATTACCAATTACAACAATTTAATAGTTTTGATAAAACGAAGGTATTTTTGTACTATATAATAAATCAATATGTAAGTATTTAAATGTTACTGTTAAACGAAATTTGTTGTGACAAATTATTCGTTTGGTATATCTAGTATTTGTTCCGTTCGTACTAAATATGTATATGGACTTTTGTTAAGCGTTCGTAAGAATTTTTTTAGGTTTTTTAATTTTTATGTTTTAACATCTTAACTGTAACGTCGACACATTTTATTTATAATTAAAACTACGCGGCAATTTTGACTTGGCAACAGTGGTGGAGAGTATTGACTGGAGTAAAATCGTTAAAATGGTGGGGGCGCAGCTTCACATTTATCCGCTGCGTGCGAGGGCGCTGCTAGTTCTAGCGCGTCCCTTACCACCTGTGTTGCCAGATTTTTAACAGTCGCTTTACATCGTTGAGCAGTTTTAAACGGTTTTGTAATTAATATAATCGTCAGTTGTCCACGTTTTTCTTTTCTTTGTTATAAAGTCTATTGTGTAATTAGTCGTTTACCGGTTCTATCGTTCTAGTGCTCAGTGATTCACGTTGATATACGTATAACGTTACACCACGCAGGTGCTTGTGTGAATTGTTGAAATTTCTGTTCTTGAAAAAAGAATGTGGATCAATTCCTCGTTCTTCTATATGTAGCTGTGACCGGCCATTCAGTGACATCTATATATAATTTTTATGTGAAAATGTGATGTAGTTTAGTGAGCATTTTGAGTTATACAGTCTGTGATTTATGAGAGAGGTCTGACCTCGACAATGGATATTAAAACGAGAGCCGCATTGTGCTGAAGAACGATCCGGCTAAGTCGAAGAGTCTAGAGATTTGCGCAGTGTTTGAAGGAATTAATTTCGCCAAATCTGAACACCACCCTCCTTTGCTTGAATGCATAAATTTTACAATTTATAGGTAATTTTATTATTCGTCTTACAGAGTGGTTATGTTTAATGTAAATGTATACTATTTGTACACCTTCTTAAATGTTTCTGTAAGGATGGTTCTCATTTATTGTCCACAGTCAATCCATAGGAATCTCACGTTTCAGATAAATTCTAAATTTTATTGAAAAGTACCATCACTTTTTATTCTTGTTTATCTTAGTTTGTGTGACCCAACGAAATTAAGATATATGAGATTTATTGGGTGTGTTCTAAATTTGTTGAATAAACAAAAATTAATGGAGTAAAAATAGGCAAGCGTAAATGTTAACTTTTAGTTTTTGCATTTTCAATTAACGATACTCCAATTAGAAACCTAGAGCACCCCGCTTTCAAATTCGTTAATTTAACGACACTGGAAGGAAGGCATTCTACAAAATCAATATCCATGCAGATAATCCCAGACTGATGTATCTACTTATGCCTTTCGTTCAACAGTTTTGAATGTGTATATTTCGAAAATTATTTAGATTAATATATTAGCAGATTTTCTTATCAACTTGTTTCTTTTAAACATCAGCGGAAGTTTACTTACGGAGAATATCGTTGTGTAAGTAAATAAAGTCGACATTTTTATAGTTACGCTTAGCGTTACCCATAATTTACTTTTTTATTTTTGACCACTCTGTAAGGTTTATTTTATGCAGATTATGTATGTTTAACAGTTACGATAGTACAAGATGTTCAAATTAATATTTAAAACTAATGCCTACACCTATGTAATGTGTAGAAAACTAGTGAATTTTATTTGCTAATGGGTTTAAAAATATCAGGATTAGCTGCCAATTAAATTAACAATTAGCTACAATAAATTCACGTTGTATTTAATTCATTAAACTGTTGGACATAGGTATACAGTTCATTTATAGTCTGCCTATGTGCCTACTTCAAAAGTACTTACCACATTCTAACAATTGTCAACTGTTAAAATTTCTTAAATTAAATAAAAAATTTTCGTATACAAGCACTTTCGGTTATATTGAAAATTGACGTCGCTAATTTGAATACAATATTCCGTAAATTTTTCATTTGTTAATAAGGATAGGAACGTTGTATTGTCATTATTAAAGTAATTTGATTTTATATCTTGTACTACTCGTCCACTTCAAACATACCTGTAACAACATTAAAGCTGGGAGTATGCTAATATAATGTTAGCAAAGTATCGAAAATGTGAATGTTATTTATATTTAAAATATTATAGGGAGAAATACAATTTTATTTAAATATCACGACGAAAAATTTTTTTTAAAGTAGATTTGACAACTTCTGAAAAGGTGTTCTTCTAAAAGTATACATACTATACTAAACATATGTTCTTATTACTCGAAAAACCAAAATTGGTTTGATACGAATAATTTTAAATCTGATCATACATACATATGAAAATATGTACCATTAAAATCGAGAATTTCACAATTTCGAAACCTTGGTACCTGCGTTCTCTTCCAGCTTTAGCATTTTGTTTGCTATTCTGAAAAGTTTCTTTAACCCTTAAGTAATGTCCGATCTTCGCGGCTCTTGGGACACACAGAACAACGCGATGTGGTGGCCAGGCACTTTAACGGATCAGCAATCGTTGCAGCAACATCAGCAACAATTGTTACATCAACATCAGCTTCAACAGCAAGCTGTAGCACAGCAAGTGGCTGTTACTCAACAGCAAGATGCTTCAATCAATTCGGCCGAAGTTGCCGCTCAACAATTATTTCCGTATAAAATGACAAGCAGTTTTCATCATCCAGCCACTTCCTTAGCCAATGTTTCGGCCACGAATTTATCCATTCCCAGTGTGTCTTCTCCTACAAACTCTGATCGCTCGTACGATTATAGACTTAGTGGTGGCGCGTCTTCTTTGGGTATTTCTGCCCCTACGCATCAGTGGTGGGGTTACGCGAACACTATGGACAATTCTGTACAAAGTTCAGGAACATCCGGTTCCGCTGCAAATAATCAAGGTGCTAATAGTCCATCTGAAGTAAGTACTATCGAAAAAAAGTCCTTAGGTTCGGTAATATACTATACTTATATATTTAATTGCCCATTCGGTAGTCAAACATGAAACAAACAATTGTAGAATAAACAAAATTTAAGATTTATGGTAACTCCCACCTAGTACTTTTAAGGGTTGAATTCATTCAGATCCCTGTTGCATGTGTAATTCAAAGCGATAATTACATGTGACCGTTTTCCATGTTTTTAAAATTCCAATTCAAATACGAAATAATTTGCGTTGTAAAATAAGACTGCTTATGTAGGGTAATTTAATTTTCTTTGTTGAAAATTTAAAGTAAATATTTCTTTAATGTTCTTCTAAATACAAAGTTATCTTTTTATTGGTAACTTTGGCTATCACTGAAAGTAGACTTTGTTAAGTTCTAATTGTTGATATAAAAAAAATCTAAAGCAACCTGATTGGTCTATTTCGATTTTTACCAAATTTGAAACTCGATTTTAATTTTTTTAACCATCCTGAGTAAAACACCCTACTCACACTCATCGTTTTTCGTATTATTACTTTCAAACGTGTTTTCAAAAGTAATACTTTGTCAGAACGGTTATCTTGTAAACGGCTGCACACCTGTAACTATCGTTGCAGTCTCAACAGTCGCATAGTCCGCAACAATCTGATTCTCGACAACTAGATTCTCAAAGACATCAGCAAGATACTCAAAGACAACAGGTTGATACTCAACCTTCGAAACAGGCCACTGATCCGCGACAAAACCAAATTCAGATAGGTCAACAACAGCAGCAGCAACAACATACTAAACACAATATAGACCAGCATCAACTGCAGCACTTGGATCATCAACAACACCAGTTGAACCAGCAACAAGCCCAGTTGAATCAGCAGCAGCAACATTTGAATCAGGTTCAACAGCATTTAAGTCAACAGAAACCGTTGAGTCAGGAGCATCAACAACTCATAAACCACCATCAACAACAATTAAATCAACAACAACATCACCTAAATCAGCAGCAGCAGCAACTTAATCAACAGAGGTACATTTTCCTTTGAAAGGGAAAAATTGAAAGTTCACTTTTGATCGTTTCATTTTTGTTAAAAAAAAAGTTAGTGCCTCGAAAAATAAAATTGATTTTGAAGTTATATCAGTGTGGTATTGGAATCTTATATAAATGAGATGAGTTTTCTTCGAGGTTGATTTTAACGATTTTTAATTGTCCATGGAATGTTTTAACGTGTAGATAAAATAATTTAATTCCTATCGTAGCAGTTTGATTCAACAAATTATAATTTTTCTTCACAATCACGTTACCTACCGCAATTTTATTATTTTTGATGGCAGTTTATAAGTTTTATAAATAATACTAGTTTGAATTCTGTCTCCGTTGTAAAAATTTTGTTCTTATGTATCACCTTTGCATGGTTCGGTATTAACTGTAAGTTGGCTACAACTAAGTCGAGTATAAGTAGTATGAGTTTACCATATGGAGAAAGTCAGGATAACGAACTGGCAAGAAGTATATTGCATCTTGTTATCCAACGGACTAGAAATGAAAGTAGGTTTTATAATTCGACTTTGTTAAGTTAATACGCGAGATACCAAAAAATTTTTTACTTTTTTCAATGAAATTTTTAAAATAGATACATGATTCATAAAAGAATGTTTAACATGCATTTTTATAAAAATATGAACAGAAACGGGACAATATTATTTTATTATCTATAATGCAATTTTGTATTTACATTAATTCTTGAGTTTTTCTTGTTATTGTTCCACAAGTACGTAAATTGTGCTCAAAATTGAATATGTAATTCAACAACCTTGATGAATGTAAGTTACTGTCATTTTAATTATATACCTAGTGTATAAAAAGAAAGGTCTCGATGAAATTCCAGCAAGTATTAACGAAATTCTAAACAATAATGTATACGAACTTCTTGATAAATAATAACCAGTGATAATGTTTTAGATTTAATCATCAGCAACAACTTAATCATCAACAGCTCTCTCAAAACAACCATTCGGGCAATCAGACGTTGTCTGCAGTGCAACAACAGCAAATTGTCCATCAACTTGGTGCAGTACATACACCTACAAGAGGAAGAATGCCACGTGGAAAAGCTGACGCTAGGCCCAGGGGCCGTATGACGGCTTATGCCTTTTTTGTGCAAACTTGCAGGGAGGAACACAAGAAAAAGCATCCGGAAGAAAATGTCGTCTTCGCTGAGTTTTCAAAAAAATGCGCCGAAAGATGGAAGGTAAGCCCAAAATATAAACAAAATGTTTTATATGTACTTGCATCATCCGTCATTTCATTTTATTTTATATTATACAGTAGGTATACGTTTAGAATTGATGACGTGCAACAATTGTATTATCTATGTTGTATCAAGCTTGTATGTAAAATCAGTGGAACGTATACAAAAATAAGTTTTAAGAGAACATCGCATTAATAATTAGGTATTAAAAATGACTTATTTTAATTAAAATATAAAACTGAAACTGAGTACCGATGAAGAAAGTGGCAATATTTTCGTATCTTCTGTTTTATTTCCGCTAAAAACTCTTAGGTATAATTAAATTTTATAATAGATTATATTTTAATGAGTTGCGCGATAGACAGTTTGTGAGACCTGAGAGCGGTCGTTCATGGCTTTTTGTGGCTGCTTTCGAGGATCAGCATACTTGGTTATGCCGGTTCGAAGAGGGCCCTAGGCGTTTTTCGAACCCTCTAGTTGAAGCGAAGGCAAACTGGTTTTTGGTACAGAGAGAAGAGAGGCTGCCGTTCTGTTGTAGCTGTTTGCATGTGTACAGTTGTACGCGTGTTTGTTGCTGACCGAAGGATCGAGCTGTGTTGCCAAATATTTCAAGTGAAAGGTGACCATGTATCGTGGTAGTAAGACGACTGTATAGGTGTATGTGTGTGATTGACCCCAGCGACGGGCTATTTGAAGGACTCATTTTGGAAACTTCTTAATGCAATAATTATATATTAACTATAAACTAGCAAAAAAACATGAAAAATCCGAAAACATACTTTCAGTTTGGTACCTATAAATTTAAGTAGCAGATATTGACTGTTCGTTATCATTTTTATTATCTTATGGTCTTGCACGTGAACTTTATTGAACTTTATTAGCTATAAAATGCTTATTTTAATTAGCTCAAAATTAAATTTGGTTTAGAATACAATCTATTGTGCTGTCTATTATTAAGGTGCGTGCACCTCTTCCATAAATATATTTGACACTAACAATTAGTTTGCGTACCCTTTAAATAATGGAAAATCAAGTTAATATTTCATTTTCATACATACCTATATTAAAAACACGCAAATTAAATTAAATTCAGTTCATGTAAATTTTAGTAAAACCAACCCTTTCCTCCCACAATATTAAATTATTGGATTCTAACAAAGATAACGTTTAGTAATTGATTCAAGTAAGGACCTGTATTTCATCGTTTTAATTTTAAAGTGGTAATTTTCAAATTGTTATCTTTTCTCTTATTAGACAATGTTGGACAAGGAAAAGAAACGTTTCCATGAAATGGCTGAAAAAGATAAGAAGCGTTATGATGCAGAAATGCAAAATTACACTCCTCCTAAAGGAGAAAAACAACGCGGAAAGAAGAGAAAACAACTTAAGGATCCTAATGCGCCAAAAAGATCATTGTAAGTCGTGACTCGTAATGGTCACAAGTGTAATTTTAGATTATTACACTTCTTCTTTTTTAAGGTCTGCTTTCTTTTGGTTCTGCAATGATGAACGTGCAAATGTCAAAGCCCAAAATCCTGAATATGGTGTAGGTGACATTGCCAAAGAATTAGGAAGAAGGTGGGCTGAAGCCGATTCCACCGTTAAAAGCAAATATGAAGCAATGGCAGAAAAAGACAAAGCTCGTTATGAAAAGGTTAGTTGTTTTCATAATTATCAATTACAAACAACAAATGAGAAAAATCATTAGAAAAATACTTATTCGTCGAAACATTTAAATTTTTAGATAATATTGTTTGAAAATGATGGGGGGACGGGGTATATACAAATAATTTGATAAAATTTCGCGTTCATTGTACATAGTACCGTAGGTATTGTCTATGCATAATATATGTAATTTCGTTTAAGAGACAGATCCCACTTTGAATACTTAAGAATTTAGATAGAAAAATCGTAGGGAAATTAATGTTATAATTTATTGATACACAGGAAATGACAGCATACAAGAAGAAAGCAAATGCCATACCTGTAGCTGCTCCCGTACCTGAACCAGAAGAAGAGGAAGAGGAAGAAGAAGATGCAGAGGACGACGAAGATGAGTAAACAGCAGAGCCACCTCATCATTAATTACCTCGTCATTGTCGCCTTTCATTCATTCCTCCCGTGTATATAACAACAGCGTTACTGTGTTTTGTCATTTCTTATGCAGTGTTTGTGTACTTATTGGTGGTAATGTATGAATGAGGAGCCTGCATGCGGAACTACTGTAGTCAAACATATTTAACTTACAAAAATAATTAAAAAAAAAAAACGATAGACTGAGTTTACAAAACAATGAAAATGAAAGAAAGCCTCTTCAGAGGCTAACGTTTATGTATTAAAACTAGTGACCAACAATCCATTATTTTTATCTGATCCGACATAGTTCAAGGAATCGTTTTGAACCAAGAACACAAGTAGTAACGTTTATATTTGTCAATTTATGTTTAAAAATCTACCCATTTTTCTTTCGTAATGTCCTCTTGTATATTTTATAAATTTGACTTATATTTATTTAACTTGTTCTGGCATTTTCTCAACACCTTGCCACATACATTGTTTTGGCGTTTGCGTTAGTTGTTTTAAATTAGTATTTGACAGTCGATTAATGAAAAATGTAGGCACATTGTGCTATACCTATGATTTTCTAAGGAAATGTAAATTTTTTTCTTCCCGTTATTTTACAAAATTCAACTCGAAACAATTGAACTAACGAATTATCTCCAAAATGAATAATGTTTGAAGTCATTGGCAGTAATCGCCACCTAGCGATACTTACACAACGTTCTTGAGTTAAAGTTAAAATTTGAAAATTGCAGTAATATACTATTCTTTTTTTTTTATTATTGTGTTAAAGGTACTCCACTTTAAAATTTGGTTAATTACTATCTAATGCGATTTTGTTTCATTCCACTTCCACGAAAACAAGAAACCAGTTAAAAATGTTTAGTGTATTTTATTGTAACCATAAATTGAATTTGGAGTATTTTTTATTTTATTTGTAAAGCGATGAACTTTGTTATACATACATTATATACTGGTATAGATACCGTTTTTGATCTCTTTTTAAAACATTTTTAATTAATCGACAACGCTGTTTTAATATATGTATGTTACTTGTCGCATTATTAATCAGTGGGTGGTTTTTAAAATAATTGAAATCTGCAGCTCGATCTTGATACAAAACACATTTTTGCCTAAAACACTGCTCAGGCAAACTCGAAAACGGGTTCAAAATTATCATTAACTAATCGAACAACAATCGGACGTGAACATAACACATTTCAGAAAGAAGAAAAAAAAATCATTAGTGTTTAAACTTGCAATTAAAGCGATATTATAATCTTCCGATTGTTGTCTCATGTCTTCATAATAGTCTAATTTTATTTCGTCATATGTATCATAAGTATCTTTTTAGTTTTAAGTTAAAACAGTGTAAATCAGAGCAGCGGCTGTCAGGAAGCAGCGATAACATTATCTTTTTGTTATTACTATTATTCTTTGCTGAACTCATCCTCGATGTACCTACCACTTACTCAAAAGTGTTCCAGAAAATAGCACGTGTACTTCACTGCGATTTTATTGTAAGTTTTCTTTTTACTCTTTCTGCTTTATTTGTCTCAAATATTTATAGACGAGAGCTATTTCTTTTACTTAACCGTCAGCATTAAAAAAAAACGATGAATTGAGAATAATTAACAGTAATTTTGCTATATTGTTGCCATTACTATTCATGTGATGTTAAGCATGTGAAGTAAAATGTGTAAGAATGTTCAAAAACCGAAGGTTATTTAGAGATATTTTTTTAAATTTTTAAATAGTTTCTAAGACGAATTGTTGGAATACTTTGAAAAATTCGTAACATTGGAACACTTTAGTTTACATGACAGTTTCGCTCTGTTATTTTAGGAAAAAATTATAGAAACTATGTTTGTTTTTGTATCTTATAGGGAATAAAGACATGAAATCAATAGTAACAGGTTATTGTTTTAAATATAATTCTGTGATCAGTTAATTACATTAACAATTGGAAACGATATTTTGATGAAACTCCGCATTTGAGTTGGATACATGTTTTGTACCGGTCAAGTTGTACGTTTTTGTCTTTATATATACGTAATTTATAAAAATGGAATGAAAGTATACTGTTGAAGATTGATTGATTTCATAAAGCAGTTGAATACTCTGTTGATTGCCTATGATCAGCTCGTCCATGGATTTACGCTGAAAATTCGTTATACGTTACACCCTGAATTAAAGTTTACATACATACATATATGTACCAATGGAATCGATTGCTAAAAATGCGTTCTCCATCGCAGTCGGTCACTATGTGTATATATTGTAACACCCTAATTTTTAAACGTCAACATTTTTAAGTAGATTTGTGTTGTCTTTTTGATCATGGGATATTTTGCAGTTATTGTGGGTCAGAATAAAATATGTCATTCTTTTATAAAATTGCTCGTTTTTATGATTAAACTAACTACGTGTTTTTCGACAAGTAAAAATATCATTATTTCAACAGAAATTAATTTAATATTAAAAGTTTCATTGATAATTATTGTTTTAACTGGTACAAAATTTGCCAGAGCGTTTTTATATAAAAAATATTAAAAAGTATAAACAAGTTTNTAATTACAAATTGCCATCAGAATATTAAATCCAACTCACCCTTGCACTTCCTGGCCCAAGAAAATATGGTTTAGATAGAGTGCATACTCTAGTTGTTTTATGCAAATAAATAGGCATTCCGCTATTATGAATAACATGAATCCATCCTTCTGGTAATATTTCAAAATGATTCTGCCCCCTTTCAATCAATACAGGCTTGTCCTTCTCTTCAAAAGATTTGTCTTTATCTATTAAATAATGAAAGTAAATAAAACACAAAGTGTGCATTGCACTTAGTTCAAAATATAGTAAATGCCATGTATTTTACTTACCTAATTCGGCTTCAGTTGCAGTTCGTTTTTTATTATTCAATGCTTCCTCTAACATTTTTTCTACTTCCTCATCGGGAACATCTGAATCACTGTCGTATTCAGGTGAATCAGACTCATTGGTTTCATCCAATACATGGAACTTTCTCTCATCGCTTACTTCTTCATTTGTATCATCCCTTAAACCGTTGTTGAACGGACATTCCGCAGTGGAATTCGTTTCAATATTGTCTACAGCTATCTGATCAGTCGTTGCTTCCATTTTTTGAACGTACGAAGTATCTTATTAACTTTCAGAAAGTTTTGCTGAAGTAACAACCGATGTTTCGATTTCTGACGGTAATAACTCAAAATAACATCTCAACTTATAAATCCAAAAATTGAAATGTCTTTTAGATTAGCACCGCAGAAATTTTAGATGCGAAGTAAAATTGACTGGCCCTACGAAAGTTATTACACTGAAATAGTTAACTCCTTACGTCTTACACAAACAGAGCTGATGTTTCCTATATCGTAATAAAGTATATAACGAATATATATGAATAAAATCCCAGAAAATATCTGTAATCCTCAAATTATGATTTTTCTCTAATTAACCTTTAATTTTAGACAGTTTTTGACGTGTGTAGTCATAGACATCGTAGTAAATATTGACAAGCATAGACATTATAAATGGCATACATATTAGTAAACGTCGATGTTGATAAGTATCCTATGTATGATAAATATATAGTTAAAAATATTGTGATCCTTTTTTAAGTTTAGTCTACTAAAAAACGAAACCCAGAAGTGAATTTTATATTTAAAGCAATATTAATAGCTTCCTTTGCCGTTTACAGATAAACTGAAATTAGTTCAATTTAACTGTTAATTACTTAACATCCTTTATCGGAAATGTGTAAAACACTTGCTAAAAAGCCAAATGGTCGTTTAACCGTTTTAGCCATAACTTAGACACTATGTAACAATTATTATTGACATCTTGTCATCTATGATCGTCTCATAAATTAAAATTGACAATTCTGTCTATGATTGATAATATGATCATAGATTAGAATATGACTGGCATGATTGGTAGCAACCATACATTAATAGCAGTTATAGATTTCCTTAACCGATGATTAACTAATGATGATTACCCTTTGTGTATCTATCATCTATGATTAATAGCAACATGGTAGTAACAGGCGTTGTCTACTGCTGCTAGGCTTTTTGCTGTGATATTTTGTGTGCATTTTTGATAAAAGATTTTGAAAAAAGTAGTAGTACATACAAAATTGGTTACTAATGTCTTGTAAAATGTATGAAATTTTCATTTGAGTTCTTGAGTAATAAAATCCACTGTGTTGCAGAACATCGCTTTCTTTGCTATGTAGACTAAACAATTAACGTTTGAAAATTGTTTAATTTTCTTTATAATCGTTGACCAGTTAGAAATTACTGTAATACATAATATTAATATTAAATAGAATTGAATACTAAAGAACCAAAATTATTAACCATATTTCTATACATGATATTTCTAAAATATGGCTTACAGTTGCAGTCTTTAATTTAGCCAATTCTTTCGCAGGATTTTACATAAACTGTAGATGCCGTTCGTTATGAAGCAATGATTGTAGTTCTCTCCAGAAAGTAGCAGTACCTCAAAGAATTGTAAAAGTGCCTTTTCTTTTCCACCGCAAAAAGATTACTTGTTCATTTGTGACAATGAATTGTCAATTGTCATGAGTGCTCTCCACAATCAAGAGGTCAAAATATGATTTTTTTCATAATGCCTCTTGATGATGTTAGGTAGAACTGGTCCACATAGGTCATTAACGAGGGTTGCAGTTTATCATAGGACTGCAAGGATATTACAATTTAGGTAAGATTGTTGTAAATGATAATGACGTTTTTATATATAAACAGGCATGTGAATAGTGTAAAGTCATATACACTATATTTATTTGTTATTATTAATAGAGAAAAGGTTTAGCGTTACTTTATTATTGTATTATGTACGTTTTTTTTATATCAGTAATATCTGAAAACATTCATATTTTATTTTACAGGAACATAAAAACTCCAGATTCCATATGTTACAAAACATTGGTTGTATCAGTGCTCTTGCACTCTGGAAAGTGGTAATACCCGAAGTTTGAGGAAGGTGTGAAGGTGCCTTTTACCGTTGGGAACTAAGAAAGTGTGCTGTAGCAGAAGGAAAGATTTATGACAATGAACTGGTAAGTAACAGTATTAATTAAAAATAGTAAACGAGGTCCCACAAACATTCATTTCCTAAAATTCAAAAGACCTGTTTGGCGTTTATAGCTCCATTAGGTTTTGCTGATTTTGCCACAAAAATTTTTAAAGAACATTGATTTGCACTTCCGACCCCCAATTTAAAAATGTTTTTATTTCTTGATTATTAATATTTTAAATCCTGATTTTGAAAGCCGAATCTTTAGTATGTAAAAGAAGTCAGAACTGCTACTGCAGCCTGACGTTTAGAATACTTTGCAGTTAAGTGGGTGGCCTATATCGAGGACCAACAGTCGCCAGCCGTATTTAAAATAATTTGTGTTTTAAATTCAAACCTTCCTACGAAATTAAATTAGTGCGCTGTAGTCTAATCTAGATAAAGATAGAAATGTTACAGTGCGAGTCGAAATTCGTAAGCAACTAAATTTTTGGATTTTAATAAAATAATCTAAATTTTTTTGGTACAAAAGCAGTCTATGAAAATGATTATGCTTTCACAACACTAACACTGTTATTGTAAATGAGTTTTTATCACTTTGTTTTGTACATTTCTCTAATATGGGCATTTTTACCTTGTGTCCTGTACATTACAATTTTTTATAGGATTTCTGATAGAGAAAGATGATTATAGTTAAATATGCAGACAAAAAACTGATAACTTTATTTAGGAAAATTGTGATTAGAGTATAAAAATGTAATAAAGCCT